TTGGGCTGTCAATTTCCCCCGCGTAATGCAAAATGACTGAAAACGGCAAACTTCGCAAGGCTATATTATCCGCATTTTACAACATTTCGCAACGAAACTTTGGAATATTACTAATTTTGTGATGCTCTTTCAAGCTGTGATGAAATTTTTGTCCAGATCAAAATTTAGTCTATAATGCAAATGGTCCATTGCTGGTGTTGAACCAGGCTTAAATGAGACGGATAAAACGTCACCAAGCATGGGGAAACTGGAACTAGAATTATCGAGATAAACATATATAAAATTATATATGAAACCTATATATAAAAGACAAATTTCCCGTCTCCATAATATGAGTTCGGCTGATCACTCACCCTGTTTTAATTAAAAACTAGGGATTACTATCACAAGGAAAGTGCTGCCTCACACTAAACGCTCTCAATAAACAGTCGGGGAAAAAAACTGAACAAACATTGGGCTATTTCGTGTTTTTTAATACACCTCAAAATACTCATTAAAAATTCATAAACCTTGTAGCAAACCATGTCAGCCATAACATGTCACATGGATTGACTTTATATCTGATAAAAGTCATCTTCATTAGTATTCTTTATATAATTGTTCATCCTAATTAGTATGATTACATAATTGTTCATTCTAATTAGTATTCTTTTGTAGTCGTATTTTAAGCTATTCAAAACACTCGAACTCGTGTTTTATCATATCTAAAACGTTCGTCTACGCCTCGCGTTTTAAATATGATAAAACACTCCTTCTCGTGTTTGAAATACTACATAGTCAATAGAATAAGATGAAGAAACTCGATACAGACATAATAGACCTCGTATGCTTTTGTCTTGCAAGAAATGCGACCGTTCATCGTCATGTGTGTATTGTTTTTTCGCCCAACCAACCAATAGCACTGTGTTGGTTTAATTTACCCAGTCATGATATTACACAATGGTTAAAGTGCTACTAACCCCAAATATGATTTTTGGTATGTGTAATATTTGGGTCATTCTAAGAAGAAATGTAATGTATCTTTTTATTATTTATTTAAAAAATTCCTGGTTTCTGATTGGCTAACAGCCAACTGTGAAATTGTCATATCAACTCAATGGCTAACCAAATATGGATTTTTCACATTCATATTAGCAAAATGACGTCAAAGAGTCAATATGAAAAAAAATTTGACGCGTTTGCGCCATATTACTATGACGACGAGAATCATATTGACTGATATGACGACGACGATGGCTGCCGAAGGACTAAGGAATTGTTTTTTTCCGAATACAAATAAAATACAAATGGCTTCTTCCACTGAAAGGTTCGCCAACCTTGGCGAAGCCGAAATTCAAAATTTACTGCTGGAAGATAAAGATTCGTTAAATACAAAAAGATCAACAAAAGCTTCTAGAATAGGTAAGAACACTTTTCCTAATCACTTGTTTGGCTGATTAACGCGGGCGAACAAATGGATGACCGTTTGTTTTGAATTTTTTAAATAAATAATAAAACAATTATTGAATTCGGTTTTCTCACAATATGAAGAATTATCAAGCCCTCAGTTTGCCGTTATCAACCTCAGTCTTCGGCTTCGGTTGATAACGGCAAACTTCGGGCTTGATAATTCTTCATATCGTGTTCAACCTCATTCAATAATTGTTAAATAGTATAAAAATCCTCATCTTGATCAACTTTTTCACTGTCAAAGTTTCCGGATATGAGGTCATTAGGTGAATTTTTGGTACAAAAAACAAAGGAAAACTAATTTGCAATTCACCTAATGACATCATATCCGGAACCTTTGACAGTGAAAAAGTTGATCAAGATGGGATTTTTTATTATAAAGATATCTTACATTTCTTTTTCGAATGACCCAAATCTTACACATACAAAAAATCATATTTGGGGTTAGTCGCGCTTTAAATGAAAACATAGCTACTAGTTGCTCTAGCGGCGAAAATACAATACACACGTGACGTTGAAGCGACCATTTCTTTCATAAACCAGAAGAATTAAATATAAAACATTTTGCGAGTTGATATACAGCAACACGAGTGGAAATTGGGAAAACGAGAAATTGTGTGGAAACACGACCATTTCTCTCATAAACCAGGGGCCGGTTGTATCAAGCCCGTTTAGCATAAACGGTGGTTAAGCTCCAAATAGAAAGCAAGTCTATAGATTCATTCAACAACCAAACTAAAAGTATTGAACCTTAATAGAACGATAATGTTTACAACTACATATTTAGTGCACAATATTTAAGTTGACTGATTCACGAGAGAGAAAAGAGTGTTATATAATTTTGACTTATCCACCGTTTAAGCTAAACGGGCTTGATACAACCGGCCCCAGAAGAATTAAATATAAAATTATAAAACATTTTCCGAGTTGATATACAGCAACACGAGTGGAAATTGGGAAAACGAGAAATTGTGTGGAAACACACGTGACGTTGAAGCGACCATTTCTCTCATAAACCAGAATAATTAAATATTATACAAATAATGAATGTTTATGAGTGCAATGGTAAGAATATTTTCATGAGGTGAAAGATGGAATGTTCCATTCAACGAGGCGACAGCCGAGTTGAATGGAACATTCCATCTTTCACCGAATGAAAATATTCTTACCATTGCACGAAGAAACATTCATTATTTGTTTTATATAATACCAAAATAGAAATAGACTAATAGATTCGTATGAGAAGCATTTTGAGGGATGCGATTTATCGAAAACACAAAGAGTGCAATTGTACTATACGTTTTATTCCATTGCACTCGCGGAGAGTGCAATGGAACGTGTTCCATTGCACTCTTGGGAAATGGAATTTTCTATTCAATATCACGTGACCATAAACAGCCAATTAAACGATTAGAATTTAATAAGGTATTATATAAAAAAATATAAAACATTTTCCGAGTTGATATACAGCAACACGAGTGGAAATTGGGAAAACGAGAAATTGTGTGGAAACACGATGCCTGAGAGTGGAGGGCGGAGTGTTTTCACACAATTTCCAGCGAGTTTTCCCAATTTCCACGAGTGTTGATACAACTGTATATCAATACGGAAGAAATGTTTCATATTTTTTTAATAATATAGCACAAAGAAATATAAAGAAAGAAATTTTCCCTGTTGACAATGTATATCAACACGGCTCTTAGCCAATCAGCGTTCAGAATTTACAAATGCTGTATTATAAATGCATATCAAAGTATTCAACTGTTCACTCACTATTTGTGATTCACTGATAGCCACAATAAAACTGTCATTAAATCATTTTTGTACTGGCATATTTTGTCTTCTGTGCAAAGCAAAACAGAGACAGGTGCACTTAATTTAATTTAAAAGGCATTACAGTCTCTAATTTGAGTGAGTCAGTCGTGCGGAAACCGATTGTTCTCTGAGCAATTTTTTGCATATTCAAATGACGATTGAACAGTCGCACACTTCACATGCATATTCTGATTCTTCCAGTCTGAGCTACATATTAAGGCTATAGTTTTCATTGAGGAAAATTATCTGTGGATTGGAACGGACAAATTTTTCTTTGTGTTAAAGTCATTAGTTCCCGCCAGAGCTGACAGAGCTCACAAGACAAAGAAAAATTTTCTTGTCCGTTCCAATCCACGGACAATTTTCCTGAGTGGAAACTAGCTTTACTAGTCCAATGTCTAGACCTACCGGTTATTCTCTTTTGCCCAATGGCCTCGTTTTCATGTCAAATACTTACTCATGTTTTGTGCCTAGTAGGGTTGAAATTGAACTTACTTTGTTATTGAGCCTAAGAACAGCAAGAAACAAATTGGTCCCGGGAAACATGGGAATATAATCTTTATCTGCCCCTGACATGCTAAAATAAGTTAGCATGGAAACGAGGCCATTGGGAAAAGAGAATAATCAGTAAGGTTTATTGTAGTTTGTTCCCGAGAATATATATTCACTGCGCGAAAGACTGGGCTGCGTGAACTCTGTGGGAACTTTGTCAGTGCCAAGAATAGTCGGTTGTCCCGTGGCGCTCGGCAAGAGATAATTACAGCAATGTTTACGTCATAAAACCTTAATTATACTTTGCCAGCGCATCAGCGTCTTAATTTCTTCAGAAGGAAAGCTAAACGTCTGACCACCACGTGTATCTAAGAGGGAATATTGGCACACAGGAATTTCTCTGATTGATGGGCTACTTGTTATTGGTCAATTACCTATGCCAAATCACAAATTATGCAAACCTCGAACGATTTTAATCGCAGCAATTTTCCGGTCCAAAACACGTAAGACAAAATAATTGCAGAACAGTCAAGCCGACAGCGACGTTCATTGAAAGGAGTTTCCGTTATTTGATTTTGTCAAGTGCTGGCTTGTTTGGTATTAAATAACGGTAGGTAATCTTTCAACAAATTTTGCCGTAATTAAACCGAGAACATGGTAAAACGTAGGATCCACTGGAATCTGGCATTGATATCAATTTTTTTTCTTCTTCACCTTGAAGATTGTCATTTCATAGTAACATTGTAACATTTTGGCATGCATGCTATTTTTATTCACAAACGCAACTGTTTCGAGATTTTGAGCTCATCCATGGTTTCATTTCCACTTATGGAAGATTCTTTGCACAGTTCTCACACAGCTTGATCGAAGCGTGTCGATACTCAGACTTAAGGATGGTTTACACTATCAAAATTTCTGTGATCACAGTAGGAATTTTGCATAGGTAAATTCTAAGTTTTGAAGGATTTGTAAGAAATGTTTGAGGAAGCTGACTCGATGTTTAACATTAAGTCAGTTTGCTGAAACATTTCTTACAAATCCTTCAAAACTTAGAATTTACTGATGCAAAATTCCTACTGTGATCACAGAAACTTTGATAGTGTGAACTAGGCCTCTACTTCATCAGAGGTATTCCATGATTTGTAGTCAAAGATTGATTACATGAAACGAGATGTTGGGTCACAGAGAGTTTGATGCTTTAATGCCTAATGATCCGTTAAAATCAGTCCATCACCACCTTGATCGAGCATCATCCTGCATTGTTATATTGGCTGATGTTGAATCAGATTTGATCAGTTCGATATTTGCTCTGTTGGTGTAATGTACTCAGGTGAATAAGATGCTTGTGGTGTTACTCTGAGTAGGTCGTAGGTTCGAATCCCACCGTGGCCAGGCATATTTTTCAAGCCTGCCCGGTGTGGATATACAGATTTTATTTCATTCAAAATTTTCATGGAACATCGTCCATCATTGTTGGACACAAAATACGAATTGGAATAGTTCGTATATATGGTCTTTAAAATAGTTTTACATGTTCGTATTTGACATATGGCTACTCATGTAAATTTAGTTCAATGCCAATGGCTTATTATTACACGCCAAATCAACGTGCTTGTGTGAACATGCATTAAACCCACTCTGAGAACCGATTCTTTGCATGATAAAGTCTTTAATTAATGCTGGTTTACACTATCAAAGTTTCTGTGATCACAGTAGGAATTTTACATAGGTATAAGGGACCGGTCATAAAGTAATTGCTATGGTGGGCTGGAGTGATTTGGGATGGGCCATGGAGAATCTTTGGGCAGTTGTGATGGGCCGCCAATTTTTTTGTATGTCCATGGTTGGGCCACCAAACAAAAACCCATGTCTACTTCAAAAAATAAAAATATTAATAATAAAACTAAACAAAACGATCCAAATTATCAAATGCAAATCATGACGCTATTGAACCAGTACTTTATTTATACAACAACAACAACAACAACAACAACAACAAGTGGTCGAATCACAGCAAACTGGAGAGCAGCTCAGTGCCGTGTATATTTATACAATGTTCATACCTGCATGCAAGTTTTTTTTTATTATAAAAGTGTATTTTCCCAATTTAGATTGGGTGGGTCATGAAAAATTTTTTGTAAGATTAGATGGGCTTTGAAATTTTTATCTACATCCTAAGATGGGTCACCGAACTTATTGGCAAAATTTGTGATTTACCTCCAGCCCACCCTAGCAGTTACTTTATGACCAGTCCCTTATACCTATACGCAAAATTCCTATCACGCTTTAATAATTCATGACATTAAATTTTCAGTAAATCTTCGCATCATGTCATATGGATTATCTTGAAATGCCTTCTCGTTGATGCATCAGCATGTAATCATGTCCCTTTCCCGGTTTTAAAAACTGTATCATGCTAATTTTTGAATGTTTCAATACAGCTATCGTCTTCATTCACATAAAGAAGAGAAACTAGCAAATGGAAACATTTCCGTTCGTATTTTAGGTTGCTTCAACAATACAAATAGGTTATATCAATATAAAAGCTTCTTTATTTAAAGACAAAGTGCTACTATCTCGCTTAATTAAACTTTTAAATTTTTAATCAGACCATATAGTTAACTTAGAAGATAAGGTTTGCGGAAACTCATTCGAATAACAATATAAGTTTTATAACTCATCACCAACCAAAAGCAATGTTTTAACCTTTTAGGAAAGTTATCTATCCATGACTTGATCAATTAGCATTTCGCACGAAGGCCAAAATCAAAATCCGCCATTTTGGGGGTACTGTCTGCCCTCGTGAATGATTCTAGACAATTCAAGCAACGTGAAAAGCGATTTATAAAAGTTGTAACTGTAAATTTACCATTATACAAACAACTACGATACTAAAAAGTTGCATTTCGTGATGCGGAGACTCTCAAACGCGGGCCGAGGTAGGGGTTAGAGGTTAGGGTTGGGGTTATGTTTAAGATTAAGGCAATGTCTTAATTTGAACGCTTTTTACAATTAAGACATAGCCTTAATTTTCGGAAGAGATCGAGTTGAACGGTTGCGTTCGGTTGTCATGTGATTACTCCATTAAGATTGCAACTTCGTTCGCCCTTAATCTTCCACTTGAAATTACAATAGGCTAATAATCCTCGTGCAAACAGATTTCTTACGCAACTCCAAGTCTGTTTGTGCAAAAGATGCTTTCAGCTTAGCTATAGCCTTGCTACGAACGAACTCATGCATTTGCTGACATTACTGCCTTTGGCTTTGACAGAACTTCTAGCCTCAGATTAGCCCACGTAATTAAATTTCATGTTCGTGTGACAGTGATGTGACGTTGTATATACTACAATTTAATTTGCAACAGGGAGGCAAACACATTCATTTCATTAAAGAATTTTTTTATTGGGAAAGCTGTCGAAAGGACACAAAAACTCGTAACCGATAAACAGAACCGCTAGACAAGGCTAAATAAAATCAACCCTTATTTAACCTTCATTCCTAAGGCCTTAAAACGTGTCAATATTAATACGAAATAAAAATCGAAATTAAAAGGCGAAAAATACTCTTTTAGGAAAATGTCAACAGCTACTTTGAATAATATTAGCAGTCTACAGGTGGGAACGCAATTATCGGCAATACAATGCTGAGTATTTAATAAATATTGCTACAGCTATTTTGGCGATGCAAACTCAGTAAATACTGCCCGTAGCAACTAAACGTTTTAGTTAGCCGAGTTGCAAGCATTGTTTGTTCAATTTCATGTTATTTGAAATAAATCCACACTTGTTTGACAAACACTGGATTATTCTGTTGTCGTTTAGAGCCGTGGAGACGCCAACATAGCGAGAAGAGAGAACCTATTCCTTGAGCAAAAGAAAATTTGCAGAACGGAGATTGCTCGCTCTGTTGGCAAAAGAAAGAATTGCTCAGGTTTTCGATCAAGTAATGGAAATCGCAGCCTTTCTTATCCTAATCCTCTGTTGCACAGTGATCTATGGAAAAGATCCTGGTAAGAATCCTTGTGGAAAGGAGTCGAATGATAACGGCGAATGCCCGTTAGCATTTGAACCAATTCCCCAGCCATTTCTTGTAAAAATCCGTTATCCGCGCGACAATAAATATGCACAAAACGCTTCAAAAGATGCCAGCAAAATGTATTTACGAGGAAGTGGACTTGGATTAACTTGGGAGAAAGGACAAATGATGAAAAACTCGGCAGAAAAGGACGCTTGGGAATTTCAACTTGAATTTGGAATACCAGGCTACGAATTGCCAAACGACAAGAAACCGCCCGCGCGCTTCGAATTCCGTGTATATTTGGACGACTCACAAGATATGCTTGGCCCAAATTTTGTCGTAGCTTTACCGCTGTCGACAAATACACAAAATACCAGCAAGGTTCCAGAATTTTGGAGGTACCCGTGGTTTTTTAGTAAGAAAGAGAGTGTTATTGACCGATACATCTATTCGCCGCAGTTAGAGGGGACACGTCTAATCCACGTGATTTTACCGCCGAGTTTTCAAGAGAATACTTATAAGCGATATGAGACCATGATGGTCAATGATGGACAGCGATTAGACAAGATAGTCCCGCAGTTATCCATTCTGATGGTCCAACGTGCTTTAATAAAGGAGGTTGTGGTCGTTGGAATTACTAATAGTTATGTAAATCGCACTCAGTTACTTGCGGTGAGTAACGGATCTGACATAAAATGCATTAATGGCAATAATATGGCAGACTGCAACGGTTGTGTGCGATGTAATTCATCAACATGCAGCTATGAATCGCATATTGACGACTACCAACGATGCTACAAATGGGTTCGAATTCCAAAGGTCTACGGGCAACTGTATTTGGACTTCATCCAAGATACCGTTATCCCCGAATGCAAGTCGAAATATCGGGCACTCGCAGGCCCCCAAAACTTTGGCATCATGGGATTCTCCCTGGGGGGTCTCATTTCGTGCAACGCCATCTGGACGCGCCCGCAAACATTTGGATCAGCGGCTTGCATGTCGCCATCGCTCTGGTGGCCATTTCCTGTGAACGCGACGTTCCCCGACGATGCTGGTTACGAGTTTACGCGAGACACGCTGATGAAATACAGAGGCGCAAGGCCGAGGCAAAAAATTTACATCGACGTAGGAGGAAACGAAGGCTACATAATGACCAGTCCAGCTAGGAATGCTTCGATGATCCTTGCAGGTACGCCATATTTTGAAATGAATAAAAATCTCTGGTTTTATATTTGGGAGGGAGAGTACCACGTGTTTATGAAGGCTGTACAACGACTGTGGATACCGCTGATAGCATTTTATGGCACCGAAGGCTCGCCCCAGGGTGAAATAATCAAGAAAGTAATCGAGGAAAATAAAACTAACAGAGCGACGAAAGACAGTTTCGTATTCCTCACTTTATTTTGGATGTGTTTAATAGCACATATTGGTTCAATAACTCCGTAGATAATCATGGTAATTATAACCTTACACTATGAAAAATAAAATGTGAAATCTCTTTGGCGACAAGTGCCTGTAGACAAAAATTAACCAGACAGTTTCGTTCTTATCAAACTCTTAGCTTTAGATAACTCGTATGCCTGGTTACTATTCTTCTAGTATACGAAAATACGCAAAAACAATTGTTAATTTAAATGGTAATAAGCTGATGACTTATTTGATAAAACAATAGACAATAAGATGGACGTTTTGCGCAGCAATATTAGGGAGCTTAAGATCTACAACGCGAATTTGTGACGCGGACGTGCTTACCGAAGCCTAGTTTTTGCGTGTAAGCCTAGTCAGAGTTGTCAGAGTTTATTTCTTTGAGATTTGTGACACTGTGATGACACGTTAACAGCCATATGAAATGATAGAAACCAGGCTTTATAGACTATTGTTACGAATGCACATTTTCCCGCCAAAACTACCATCCGAGACGACGTGATATTTGCAAAGATTCGTCGTCATAGAAGTCGTAAAAACTTATGATAAAAAATATCTTCTTAATATATTGCTAGCCTCTGTTATGTTGTACATTTTTTCCAGTATAATTTCATTTTATTTACTGTGATACAAATATTTTAATGGTATTTGCCATCGTTTTAAAATAAAACTTGTTTAATGCGACGTCCGCGTCGTAAGTTCGCGTTGTAGATCTTAAGCTCGCTATTTTCCTTGTAATACATATATCATAATTAAAATAAACAAATAGAACTGGGGGATGTCATTCAATTTGCTTGCTCGAATTAGTTGTCACTATTTTTGAAGACTGTCCTGTAACGCTTTACTGAAATTCACCAATTATTTCAGTAATGTATAGACATCACAAATTCAGTGACAGGATTTGAAGAGAGGGGGGGGGGGGGGGGTGGGGGGTTAGGTTGCCACATATGACCACCATTTATAGCTTGAAATCGTTTGCCATAACGCACAACTTGTAACAAGTACCTGCAGCAGAGTTGTAGCAATGCTGTTCCAACAACTTGTCAACAGGATGTGTTCGCACTGCTTGTTCCCAGCTTGTTGACAAGTTGTCAATGTCAACGGCTTGTTCACAACTTACTACAAGGTTGCTGAGCTCAACAGACTTCTTACAAGTTGTACCGACAACTTGTAATCGTCCTGCAATTCAACAATTTGTCAACAAGTTGTGAGTTGACTGAGCCCACGATGCCAAGCAATAAATGCTCAGCGACATGAACACTTTTCAGTATATACTTCGTGTGACTCCTATTATAATGTATCAAGGCGGATCCCTGACCCCCACCCCAACTCCGCCCCTAACCTCTAAACCCCGGGTGGTTTTAATTTAAAAAAAATGATAAAATGAATTATTTATTGAGCAGTGACAGTACAGCAACCAAAAAGGCGCCGTCCAATAAACCCCGGAGTTATTACTCACAATACATGCAAACAAAATTAATTATTAAATACGATTCATTTAATTAAAATGCATACCGTTCTTAATTACGAAAATCATGCCATCGTTTTCGAGTAAGGAGAATTTAGATTTGAATCAATGTTACAGTCAGTTTATTACACAGAATTCTAAACGTGAAATTATTTACTCTGCCATTATTATTGTGGAAATTATGTTTTCTTGCGGATGTTTCAGAGATAGTTAAAAAGCGTATTAGTTAACATTGTAATAAAAATAACAGAAACACAAACAAGCGATTGTTAAAGAAAATAATTCTTTATGCATGAACATGATTTTATCACTTAAAAACTATGGATATACAAGGAAAATTATTTTCTGTTTTTATTACGATTCTGACAAACAATTTGGGGTCAGTTATGTGACAGTCCAGTTTACACGAGAGTGGGACGACGTCAAACAGGGATGGAAATTGAAATTGTCAGCATGAATTTCATTAGAAGAATTTCTTCTGAAGAGATTGTTCTCTTTGCATGAATTTCACCCTGAAATCGCAGGAAATGGCCATTCTGGACTTCAATAGTTTCCGTGGGTAGCATGCCGGTTTCATATAAACATTTATTATACAATGACCGAAGTGAAAAATTCATGCTGAGTCGAATTAAAAAAACACATTCATGCAAGCCAAGCCAAGGATTTAGGGAAAGAAAAAAATTGCTGCAACTACATTGAATATAACAAAAGTATAGTGTTATAAAATTTAATTCCTGACCTGTACAGTTTCTACACCGTAAAAAAGGCCGACAAAGCTCAGAACTTAAAAAAATCATCTTGTGAAATAAAAAAAAAACAACTCTAAAAAGCCATCAATATGAAAAATTATTCGTCAGTAATCTCGTTATAGTAAATTGTAACCGTTTTTCATTAGTCTCAAGATAAATAACCAACGCATATTAATGAATGGCGTTGATAAATTGCTAAATAAACTTACGGGGTGTATATAAAAGTAAAATTTCAGCTGCATCAGTAGCATTTGCAGGAAGGCTACCATATAAAGAGGGCAAATTTTAACTCGAAAGATGACATCAGAAAAGATACTATCAAACTATTCTTCCAATGGCAACGCTAGTCAACACTTTTTCAGTTTGTTCAACAACAGTACAGCACCATTGTTGACCACGTTAAGTCTCGTGTGTTTTCTTGTCAATATTACAATCATCTCACTGTTTTTCATCGATCCATTACACAGCCTAAGAAGACCTTCGGGTTATTTGGTGGCAAGCCTCAATGTCGGAGCGATTTTAACAAGTACATCATCGATACTAATAACTCTACCCGGAATTGACAGTACGATCGTCCTGTCTGTGAATGTATTTTTCGCCGTTACTTCGGTGGCTGCGACAGCCTCGTTTAGTTTTATATTCATTCTATCCTACGAACGTTACGTACTTGTAACAGCACCGATAAAATACAAACGAGTTGTGACAGTACGACTTGTTCAAATACTTGCTGCGTCCATTTGGATATGGAGTGGAATTATAGGCGTATTTATGCTCAAAATGTTCGCCACAACGGATCATCAATGGCTGAGTCTACCTTTTGGAATCCTTTTCATAATTTTAGTCACAATTGACATTAAAACGTTTATTGAAATCAAGAAACTCAACTCGAACATCACTAGTATTACGGAGACTGGTCCGGAAAGATCTGCAGTTAGTCAAGCGATAAAGAAAAGAAATAACATGCACAGCAGATTCGCCCTAGTGGTCGTGCTCTTACTACTTAACTTTATATTTCTCGCTTGTCCGATGTTTGTCTACGATGCTCTCTCGACATTTAATAAAAAATGCGAGTTCTGTCTGTTCACTTCTAACATAGCGGACGCGACGATGTATGCAGCGACAATGATTCTGTTCATTTGTCACGACATAAACACGGCGTTGTTTTATCTGATTTTAATTCCAAAATACCGTTTGTCCTTTGTGGCGATGTTTAGAAAGTGCAAAATGTCGTTTCTTAAGAAGTTGTAAAGTTAAGTACAATAAAACACAATTATATATGATGACTATAATGTCTATTTAATAATTGCGATAAATTAAGAAACATATATTTCACGCGAAGTTGATTGCTTAAATTACAAAATTTCGATATGCAGAAACTGACGTCACGTGGCGTCTTTTATTCAGCGCCACAGGTAGTCGAGCGTTTAAATCATCCATAAAACACCTTCCAAATTTGTACCCTGCGTTTAGCAGCAATATTGATGTCAAAGGGGCTTCGGCGGTGCAGAGCACATAGGCATAGACCAGCAACAAGGTAATAAGGTAATAAGCATGTAAGGGAATAAGCACACATAAGCAAGCAATAAGGTAATAAGCATGCAAAGGAACAAGCACACATAAGCAAGCAATAAGGTAATAAGGTAATAAGCATGCAAAGGAACAAGCACACATAAGCAAGCAATAAGGTAATAAGGTAATAAGCATGCAAAGGAACAAGCACACATAAGCAAGCAATAAGGTAACAAGGTAATAAGGTAATAAGCATGCAAGGGAATAAGCACACATAAGCAAGCAATAAGGTAATAGGGTAATAAGGTAATAAGCATGCAAGGGAATAAGCACATATAAGCAAGCAATAAGGTAATAGGGTAATAAGGTAATAAGCATGCAAAGGAATAAGCACACATAAGCAAGCAATAATTAGGTAATAGGGTAATAAGGTAATAAGCATGCAAGGGAATAAGCACACATAAGCAAGCAATAAGGTAACAAGGTAATAAGGTAATAAGCATGCAAGGGAATAAGCACACATAAGCAAGCAATAAGGTAATAGGGTAATAAGCATGCAAAGGAACAAGCACACATAAG